TGACGATCCGGTGCTGCTGGTCCAGTCCGAGGTAGCAATCGCTGACGAGGTACAGCGTGACCGTGTGCACCAGGGCGCCGCCTTTGAGAGTCGATGCACGTTTTTCCAAGTGTCAGTGGGAGTGTTCGTTGGTCTTGGCGGGAAGCACCGATATCACCAGTGCGCATCAAGGTTTACCCCCCGAAAAACACCGAGAACAGCAGCTGCAGGCGCCCAGACTGATTCGAGGCCGCAGCACTGCAGCCGGCCCCCGGCCCCAAGCCGACATCGAGCCGGCACGCCCGCGACGAGAGCACTCACCCGCGCCGCGCCTGGGGAACGCGAGCCGCACCGTCGTCCCGCGGCCCCCAAAGCTCACGCGCCGCAGCGCCATCAGCTCCCGGGAAGCTGCGTCCCCAAGCACCAGCCACCACCCCTCCTCCTTGAGCTTGGGGAACCGAGGCGCGTACACCCTGGGGGCCGTTGCCCCGCCCCCGCCGCCGCCGCCAGGGCCCCTGCCGCCGAGCCGCACGATCTCCACCTCCAAGATCATCTGATCTTCGTCCTGCCCCTCCGCCTCCCGCTCGTCCTGCTGCTGCCGCCCCTCGGACCCGCCCTTTCCGTCGCCGTCCCGCGGCCGCGCCCGCGGCGCCGGCCGCGGCGCGCGCCAGGAGACCGAGCAGAGCGGCATCCGGTCGCACACCGCCGCCGCCTCCTTGGCCGCCGCTGGGCCGAGCGCCTTCTCGAGCGCCTGCAGCGCCCGTCGCCGCTCGCCCTGCTGCTGCTGCTGCTGCTGCTGCTGCTGCTGCTGCTGCTGCTGCTGCTGCTGCTGCTGCTGCTGCTGCTGCTGCTGCTGCTGCTGCTGCTGGCCGCCGCCGCCGGCGCCGCGGAGCGCGTGCAGCAGCTGCGGCAGCGCGCTGAAGCCTGCGGCGGCGAGCTGCCGCGCCTCGGCTGCGCAAACGTGCCGCAGCGCCGCCAGGGAGGGGCCGTCCATCCACCTGGGGGGATTGGCGCACAGGGGTGCACACAGCTGGGTTTGACACAGGGCACAGCGGCCTGCTGGTGGTGGGACTTCAAATCGCGTGTGCATGGGCTCGGCGTTGGGCAAGCGGGGTACCACGGCTGCGGCAAGGTCAGTGTCACGTTTCGAACCGTGCTCTGTCGTCCCTTGAGATGATGGAACTTTGGTCACAAGCCTCCCTCCCCTCGCCCCCTCCCCTCC